AGACAATTCTGCTTGGTTAGCTCTAAGGAGTAAACACATACAGTTACAGACTCATCCACCAAATTACTTCTGATAGTGTTTCTACAACATAGCCTGACTTGCACAACTTAGACAAAACTTTTCAATTTCCAAAAGCAACTTTAACGAACTTCCAACTCCATTGTGTGTGTTCGTGTGAAGGGGAGGGGGGGGGAGGGGTTAAAGTCTTACTGAGATAGATTTAGGGCTGCAGTTTTCACACTACTACATTCAATATGACATGAATAATTCAATGATACTCAGCATCTGGTAATGTCGAAAATCTGAGCATTTTAAGTCCAGCCATACAGGTCTGACAAGGATTGGAGGGAGGTGGACACGCAAGGGACTACATCTGGACTCCTGCTGCTGCTTCACTGGGGACTCATCAGCAGCAATGACACAAAATTGCTTGCAAGCTGCCGTTCCTGAGTGTAGCCGTCCGCAAAATCACTGCTAAGCACTGCCAAGGCTGCCAGCAGCCATGCATTATTGATTTTCATTGGAAACTGTTAACAAGAACAAAAAAGTGTGGGGCTGTACATCGCTGCTGGAAGAAGAGGCCGCTAAGGTTTAGAGGTTTTAACGCCCTCTGGTTCCACCTCTAATTTATGCACTGTAGTAAGTATCGGTAGTAAGTAAGTACTCATTGTCGTTTGTTTTTATTACACTTTATTGCTGACTGTAAATCTTAATATCATGCAAATAAAAATGTAATAAATCATTCATAACATCCTGTAAAAACTGGCTCTAAGGCCCATTAGAAATCGCGAGACAATTCAAGTCACACATATCTGTTATTATTGGATAGTACTACAGTACAGCTACAGCATGAAGCGCATTACCTAAACTGATAAATATATATATATGTGTGTGTGCGTGTGTGTGTGTGTGTGTGTGTGTGTGTGTGTGTACCTTTGTACATTGGTATGATTGATTCAGGGCTCATTTCAGTGTCTTATTGAAATGTTTTTCATGCATAGCTTCTGGTCTCTTGTCAATTTCATGAAATTCATTTTATTTTAGTTAAATATTAGTTAAACAAACTATTTTACCATTTATTTTTATCTATATAATATTTAGCATTTTTGTATTTCAGCTTTTTAGCTCATTTTGTTATAGATTTGCAATTTTTTTTAAATATAAATTTGCTGCTGGTTTGCCATATAAACCATAAAAACTAAAACCAAAAACTATTTTGGCATTCATAAAATATAAAATATATTCATAAAATATATCTTGCAAAAAATGTAGATCTATATCTAAGTTTATTGTGCTCTACAGCTATGTTAATTCTGGCAAACTTTGAATTACCTTTTCCCTAACTTTTTGTTCAGAAGCCTTTACATTATCTTCCAAAACATTTTCTTTATACTTAGCTACTCATCTTGGTTACCATGGTAATCTTCTTGGAAAGGTTGCAGCATGTCAACATGTTTTGTTCTTGTTGTGTATGATTCCCATACTCCCATATTTCATGGCCACTTTGTCATTCTAATAAACACACTATCTCCATATATAATATATAATTACATAATGACGCTACTATATGGCCTTCCTTGTTAGCTCTGACTTTTTTTTTTTACTGATTTTCTTCCTGTACTTCTTCAGTGAATTCTTCCATCACTGACATATCCATAATGCATCACAGATCCCTGCTGTCCAGTGAATATCGATTACTCATTATTTTTGTGGATATCCGTCAGAAAACCTGGATGTGAGTCCATTAATTTATTCTTCAAGGCTAATTCAAGTATTGAATATCATAACTTAGCCAAAAAGATAAGCGAGCCTTTTCCTGTCAACTGATTTTTTTTTATGTTGAAGCTACCTCTAGCGGTGACTAGATGAAATACAACCAAAGTTTACATTATCTGAGTGAGGCAGATAAGGGTTTTTCCGTTCTTTTTAGGTTAGGACCATGAAAAGAAGGATGAAATTCAAATGTATGTTCTATGCCCAATTGTATTGTTTTTAATTCTGGAATATGGATACATTTCTTCTGAATGGAAACTTAATGTACTTGTTTCGTTTAAATTGCAAAAATATAAAAACACAAAAAAAAATGTAAGGGACAAGTTTGATTACATAAATTATAATTTTCTAGGGAGCAGTGTCATCTAACACATGTAATTAAATTAAATTAAAATTATTTGGTTGAAAAAGCAAAAAGTTGTCCAAATATTGAAAAAATGGGAAATGAGAGAAATACATTTTTAAATGTGTTTATATTAGTCTGAAAGCTTTTAATAAGCCCCAAGGAGCTGTCAAAATTAAATAAATTAAATGACAAATTATAAAAAACAATAATAATAATAACAATAATACCGAGTTTGGATGTTGCTGCTGTAAAGTGAGTCGACAAAGTGTTAGATCTCATTGTGGCCATAAAACATGTGAAGTGGCATTTTGGCGACTCAATATTTGTAGTAGTCATAAAACACCAGAGCTGAACCGACAGAACAGGTGTTTGACACGAAAGCTATTGTAGGATAGATAATGAGCAAACATCCTGCCACACCCTAAAAACTGTGAGAATATAACTGCCTTCAGGCCATGCTGTCAGGACTGTGCTTCACAGAGAGTAACACAACATGTATTTAGAGTAAGGGAAAGTAAAATATGGATAATGGATATGGTTTGTTCAATATATTAGTTATTGTAAAATGCTTGTTTCCCCAAATTCTATAACTCAAAAAAAAAAAATGCAAAAGCTGTTAGACTGTTAGCATAGAGGTTGCAAAAGGTGAGCCAACTCTGCAGTTAGCTGACCGACTGTTAGCATAGAGGTTGCAAAAAGTGAGCCAACTCTGCAGTTAGCTGACCGTTAGGTTAAAGGCCAAAAAAAAATAACACACTATAACAAAGTGAGACCACAAACAGGCAAAGGATGGTCAAGATAGTAAATTTGGTGGTGGATCATTTTTTAAGCATAGACATCTACCCAAAAAAATACTGCAATGTCTGCTTACCAAGTGTGCAGCAGACACCCTTTTTTTTTCATATTTTTGTTGTGGAACGAATGGCCAAGCAGGCCAGTTAGAAAGAAATGTTATGTTGGACATTGTAAGGGATGTCATAATGTCAACACAAGTAACAAATCTAACATTGCTAACACAATGACAGACAATCAGTACAATTCCAAGTATATAAATATCTGCTAAAAGAAAATAGCCTCAAATTAGCCTAAAAAGCTAAGCGTAGATACAAGAGAAAAGTAGAAAGTAAACCAATGTAAGAAAAAGAAAATAAGCCAAATCTTAAAGAAAAACAAGTCAATACCTGCCTTAACACACAACAAAGATAAACAAACACCTGGCTCAAAACCGAGTTAAGTTTCAATCAAAAGAATCAACCAAAACATGACCCTAAAAATTAAACACAGTTGCTTAATGTTGTAATTGAAAAGTTTGGAAAATTCCCATTAAGAGACCAAACAATTAAAAAAAAAAAACACACAGCTAAATATTTTATGCTGTTAAGCTGCTACGGAGCCAAATATTTTATGCTGTTAAGCTGCTACGGTACATTCACCCACTCCCTTTTCCTCCCAATAAATTGTAAAAATGTATGATGTAAGACTTGGAAATATTTTATTTACTTCTCTGCACATTTTTCTTTTTATCTAAAGTGTGACAGATCGTCAGCCGTCCTCCTGCTTCCTCTGCTGTTATTTGAACAGACCGGAGAAAACACATCAAATATTATGCTAAAAAAGCACATGGATGAGTTCAGACCGGGCTGATGCATCACTTAAAACATCTCAGCCTGTTTAAAAGTCCATCAGATATTGTGTTCTGAAGGTAATGGCCTCAGATTTATGACACACATTGAACCAATTATTTATTATTTATAGACCAAACATTACCAGGACTCAACATAAATATGTTGGCTATAATTTGTACTGCAGTCAGATCCATTTGTCTGCAGCTGTGTCCACCCTGCTGTTTTACAGCCCCTGATAGATGGTGCTTTTAGTGCAATGTAATGACTTTAAATAAGGCATCAATAATGCTTCAGTCTCCGAACACTTTCATTTATAAACTATTTTTGGGAAACCATTGGAGCCATTTATCTCTGAGACTTTTTGGAAATGGAAATAAGCCATGCTCCACATAGTACTTTTCACTGTGGTGGCAATAAAATAGTTTCTTATTTTCTCATTCAATTTATACTTTTTAACATCTGTAACAGGAGATGTAACTATAATGTTATTTTTACGTGAATTAGTCTTGGAAGTGCAGACAGCTTTACAGCGATTTTTGTGTGTGACCACAGTGGATCACCTCCTTCAACTTACTGAAATGTCCACAGACTTAACTGACCTTTAGAAAATCTGACAAATTCACCAATTCCATCAAAATTACACAAAAAAATACATTTCTCCATTACACATTTCACTGTCTTTAAAAAGCACAATAATAATAACCTTGTCTTTGGCCTCCGCCTGTACCAACAGTCACTGGTTACACTATGACTTGGTTATTGTAACAATCCCATCCACGTTCTTCTTATTAGCTACTGGCCATAGTATGATATCTCAGTTCTGCTGCCTTCAGGGGTACTGCAACAGGGAAAGGCCACCCAAGCAATACAATAGGGCCCCGAGCTGGAAGGTTCCCTGACAATGACAATGACTGAACTGCTTTAGACACTGCAATGGTGCCTCGTGCCTAGAAACACCCCTGTATGCATTTCATTCATCTTACTGCAAGGTTCATATATTCAAGTTTTTATTTCAAATATGGCTGATATGTTAAATCAAGAAAAATGTCTAAGCATTCAAAGATATTAAGAAGCAGTGCATGATTGACCTTAGTGATTCAACGTGGTAGACTTTGAGACAGACTGATAAAGGGACTAAATTACGTCATTCATTAGTGGGCTGCATGACTGTGTTTAAAGTGAAACGAAAACAATTGGAATTATGAGTGATGCACTTGCCACTTCAGCCCACGGAGGGCGGTATATTGTAAAAAGCCCTGTGTGTGAGTGTGAGAAAGCGAGAGAGAGAGAGAGCGGGCGAGTGTTTGTTTACCTCATGGTTGTCGCGCCTGCGCACTCGAGCGCTGTTTTTCCCACACAGGTGAGCTCATCAGTGGAACAACAGACTGCAGGTGGAAGTCGAGTGGAAACGTCGGAACTGAAGGTTAGAACATGCCCAGTTGATTTCGTCCTGTTTCTTCTGATGAAATAAAAGAGCGCCGCACCGTGTTACTTCAAAATGTCGCCGTGTGTTTTATTAAGCTAGTTATCTTTAGGAGAACTGTATTCCTTTTTCCAACCGAAAACGACGAATTAGCGAGTTTATTCTCTCTGTGGCTGTTATTAAAGTGTCTTATACGTGTCTTTGTTTACAGTCAGAGGTGGAAAGTTTTACAGTTTTGAAACTATAACAACGGGAGCAGCTGCAGCGGCATGAGATGAGTCACGCAGCAGAGAGCAAACGCAGGATGGAGCAGTTTTTCAACACGGTAACACAGCCACGCCTTTAGGTGCGCGCATGCGCAAGGGTGGTTTTATTTCCACCTAAAACTACCAAACACAATTTGCCTTGCTGAACTTAACCTTTTCGAAGTGAATTGATTAACTTACCACCCTCCCAGCCCACAATAACACCTTAACAAGAGAAGATGTTCGAATTCATATTCCTTGCCGAGCTCTTTATATCCGTGATGTGGTATCTAATATGTTTGTACTGATAACTCATGTGTTTGTAAGAGTGAGATTTACTATATATGAAGGCTTTTGTCTTTTATTGTTATTTAATCAATCTTTTTTATACTGTATTTAATTATAACTGTATTTGGATAACGTTTGTTATTTAGCTTCAGAGCTAACCTTAACTTTTCATTATTGGCCACTATTTAGCTTATTCTGCTAACTTTCTGAATACTTTTTAGACCTGTTCTAAGAAAACTATGTCATGGCTAACCTTTGTTTGTTGTTGTTGGTAAAGCTTTGTCAGTGGCTTTAATAGATAACAGATGGTTTTGTTTACCTTCCAGCTGAGTCAGATGCAGACTACAGGATTATCTTCCAAGCCTTAAAATGGGTTCAAAGTTGGCTAAAGAACAGCTGTATTCAAAACAAACAAACAAAAATGAGCGAGACAAGGAATAAAGAAATTCAGTCAAAGTAATTTTATTCAATAGTATTGAACACAGGTCACATAATTAAAAAAAAATGTGACTGAGACTGTATTTAAATTTTTACCTACTTTCCTGTTAAGGTTTGGATTTTCTCCCCAGTGGTTGATGAACTTTATAAAAAGTAGTCTGGGGAGGAGTTAAAGTCAGCATGTGACAAGTTTAATGAGTATATCTGTGTGTTGTAGACCTACTCTGAGTAGTGTTAAATGTATGTGTTCAGGTTGGGGAGGTGAGGAGCCTCATTCTGAAAATCTCCTGCCAAGCAGAGGAGGTGGAAAAAAGCCAGAGCATCATTCTCTCTGCTCCAAACCAAGACGGGAGTAAGTCTGTACGCACAAAACACACAATTCAGTACCAACACTACCATGTTTTCAGAAAGAGGAAACTCCTCCCCCTTTAGGGCAAACTGAACTATAGAAGACAAACAGACATCAACAGATCCAACATCCTTTGACAAACAGACTTATGCCTGTTAAAAAGGTTTATGTTGTGTGTTTTCACTACATGGGCGTAAAAAGTACCAGGAACTTCCAGTGTTTCTACCAGCAGCTGCCAAGAACTTTATGAAATAAGTAGGGCCGTATTTGAGCTCATCTGTGTGAGTTTTGACCAAAATTGCTCTATATCAAAGGAAGCTTTTGAGCAATGGATTGATGTAAAAAGTCATATTATTGTTTAGTGTATGTATATATGAAACACAATACCATGTCACTGTTGGTACTGTTGGCACAGTTTTAGCTTGTAAATTCATTGTGTACTATGTTGGTTTTACTGCAGGTAATAAACAGAAGTTGGAGCAGCTCAACAGTGAGATCAAGAAGAGTGCAAACATGGTGAAGGCAAAGTTAAAAAGTAAGTGTGGCTTTAAGTTGACGCAGTTGGTTTATTGTCCATGTTCAAGTACTTACTGTATGCATGTGAGCTGAGCCACAGTAACAGCAGAAGAACATCTTTTGGAACAAGCTGTGAAAACATTGAATGAAAATACTGTAATGAAAACATTTTGTCTTTTTTCACGTGCACACTTGTGATGAAGAAACTTGTAAAGAACAGTAATGAGGATATTTTAGAAAGTAGAGGCATCAGTTTCTACAGTGCACTTCCTCACTTCAAGTTCAACACATCATTATACTTGCAAAAGAATGGAGATGTAGACAGCACACACACACACGTTGGTACAGACAGTCGACCTATACTGTAAGCAAGAATTTCAGCTTTTGTTGGGGAACTTTACTTCAAGCAGTTGTTTCCTCCATGGCATTGAGGCAGATGTTTATTAAAGCTAATGACCTGTCCTCTGTGTCTCAGACATGCAGAAAAACCTGTCCCTGGAGCACAATGGTAAAAATCCTTCAGTGATCCAGCGAATAGAGAAAAACCAGGTTGGTGAATATTTATGTTCTTTTACAAACTGCATAAACAATTGTCCTTCATAAATATCCAGATTTAAATATATTTTCTTATGTATGTACATATTAAAAATATTTATGCACATAAAATTACCAACTGCCAGTCTTCTTGGGCTGAGAAATTAACATGATCAGAAAGATATTTCTGATTGCAGTTATGCAGTTTTGTTAATTAGAGTTAATTACCACGTTGCAACTATTTAAGCCATATTTATTTTGCTATTTTTTTCCCTATGTAAATATTTCTTAGGGATACTGTGTTTCATTTATTAGTCATATTTACAAGTTTACAACTATAATCAGTTCACAACTGTTAACAATAGCAACTTATTATATGGTCGTGAGCCATTTTTATTATGTTTCATAATTATATTTCTCTGGTTGAGTAGCTTCCATTAATTTTTGCATTTTTCCAGACACATTTTTATCTGTCAGCTAATCTAGCTTTACTCCTATAATGAATTTCTAGGCTCAACTTGTTCTAGAATTGAACCCTCAACCCTGCAGATGTATTACAACTGCACTACCTACTTGGCTGTAGTCATAGATTAGATATTGTTTATTGATATTGATTGCCTTTGAATAACTTTGTTATTTTGGTTGAGACATTTTGGCTTTAATGTATCGTCAGGAGAACTTTTTGCTTTATTATTATGAATACTAAGAAAGACAAAAACAAATTCAGACACTCAAGGACTTCAACTAAATCATAAATTTTTAGATTCCTGTGTCAATAATTTGTTACAAAATTGTGATTACTCTCTCTCTCTCTCCCTCTCCCTGTCTCTCTCATTCTCCCTCGCTTGGTCCAGCACTCACATCTGACCCGCTGGTTTGCAGAGGTCATGCGAGGCTACCACAGCTCACAAATGACCTTCAGGGACAAATGTAAGGCCCAAATTCAGAGACAACTGGAGATAGGTGAGTGACCCAAAACAAGTGGAACTGACAGGAGAACACGTGTCAGTTCCACTTGTGTCCACGTCTTCAGCTCTGATTCTCACAGTCTAAACAGTGTTTTCCAAGATGATTAAATATCTTATCCAAGAATCTCTCCGTAACTCATTTAGCATTGAACAGATGTTGCCTTCTGTGTATTTACTCAATTATTCTCACACTGAGGAAAAACACAGTTTGTGGATTGATTGTATTTCTGGTTCCCAAATACTTGACTTGGAAAAATACTTACACATCTGCCACAACAGGGGTCCTTCCAATGCAGAAAGGTCGAAGCCATTTAGCTATGTGTGTTGTGGTTACTGTTTACCACGTGATGTTTTTTATCATTACACCAGGAAAAAAAATACTAAATTTAGCGGGCCTCTTACGCCATCTCGTGGTACAAATCAGAAATGCATGTAACTATATATTTTATTTTAATTTAAGAAAGTACTTATTTAGAGTTTGTTTTAAAAGTTTGAATGTATAATTAATTCTTAATGTATTTTGTGTGTGTGTGTTCTAGTGGACAGAGTGACCACCGATGAAGAGCTGGAGAAAATGTTGCATCGCAACAGCCTCACCATCTTCATAGCTGATGTTGGTGAAATTGTATTGCATCATAGACAGAATATGACTAGTCTGCAGCGAGTAATTTGTTGTAACTGGGGTACATTTCAAATAAATAAAGAAGTTACATAGTCACTCATATTATTCTCTGTTCCGGGGATTAAAACGTTGTTTTCATCCAGTGTTTGTGAAATATTCCCTTCATGTTTAGCTTGGACTCCTGTCTTTGTTACTTTGGGTTATTAGCTATGTACAACTGCAGCATTTAGAGTTTAACATAAATAATAATAATCTCAACTATAATGTAAGGCATGATGCAGATTGTATAATTTGTTTTTTGGTCTTTTTCCCCAGATTAGCTGTAAAGGTCAGATCACCAGCCAAGCTGTGAGTGAAATTGAATCCCGTCACCAGGACATTATTTCCCTGGAGTCTAGTATCCAAGAACTGCACGAGATCTTCACAGATATGGCCATGCTGCTGGAGATCCAGGTACACACCACAGAGACGACGATGATTTTCAAATGACTTCAAATGTATGATCAAAGACCTGGTTCTGGTCCAAACTGTTTTTGCTGGTTCTTCTCTGTTTGACAGGGGGATTTGATCAACAACATAGAGAAGAACGTGACCACTGCAGCAGAATATGTCGACAAGTCCACAGAGGAAACCAACAAAGCTGTCACATACAAGAGAAATCCGTACAAGGTGGCGTCACTGCCCAGCTTCCTCAAACCCTTCAGGAGGCAGGGTTCGATTAAAAAAGATCCGGCTCAAAACAGTTCAGGCTCAAACCAGGACTGAACTTTTGGACCTGATTGAAGTTTGTCTACGTCAAACATTTCACTGTGGTAAGTGAATTAACCATAAAGTAAATTGTTAATTGAATTAAAACTTGCCAACGTGGTATTTGGTCTGATAATGACAGTGCCTAGTCTAAAAGATGAACAGAAAGTGTTTACTAAAAAAAAAAAAGAAAAAACTTAGTCTGCCACCCAACTGCACATGAGCCTAAAAAATCTGCAAAAGTCATTTCACATTTTTGTCTTTTTAGTCTCCTGCAATAGCTTTTTAGGCCATTCTTCTATTTATTTTAAAAGCTGATGTTCTTCATTAAGGCCAATAAATGTCAGGATGTCCATGTTCATGCCTGTATTTTGAGTTTTTGACTTTATTTTAGTGATGCTTTGGAACTCTTTGTTGTGTGTCAGTGTTGTGATGAAAGATGAGATTGAAAATGCTGTTTCTGCTGATTGGGGGGAAAAAAGACTGGATCAATGCAAAATTCAAGGTGCTGTGTGTTAAGGAAAATATTTAATTCTATTTAAAGACTTGATCTGTGATATTGACTCTCTTTAATAACTAATCAAATTTTATTCCAAAACAAAGACAAAAAAGGTCCAGAATATTCTTCAGAATGTGCTCACATATATTGCATAAACCTAGTGTTGCTTGTTAGAAATGTTGCACTGTTCATTTCCCCCGTGTTGTTTTAATGTCTGAGGAAAAAGGAACAAAAAGTTCAAACTACTTCCTACTCTTTTTTTTAATGCATAGATTATTATGTTTTGATGACAGTTGTGTTTTATATATTTAGTATTCTTTCATTTAGTATGTTTAAGAACAGTTTTTAACACTGATTTGAAGTCAGTGGAATATTAGTCAAAAAAACAAATAAAAAAAAACTTGATTTACTAGAGGCTTCTTTCTAAGTCTTTTGTGTCTGTGGAAGAAGTTCTTCCCATGTTCTGTTTGAACACCTGAATTTCACTTAGGCAACGTAGGGACCTGACCTCTTTGATAAAAAACGAATCCACACCAACGTTTTTAGGCCCGTACCGCCACCTACTGTACTAAAATGTGTAATCTTATGGTTTGACCACTGACTTTTTAAGACAATACAGTCAACTCCTCACGCCTTGATGCACGAAACTTTTTTCTTTCTAAACAGCAGTTTCATCATTGTATAAAGCAGTGGCCCTCAAATGATGGCCTAGAACTTGCATCAACCTGCGAGCCGTATTTTTAAACACGTGAAAGAAGATGTTGAGAGTCTGTCATCAAAAACAGCCTTTTTTTAACATAGCTTTTGGAGTTGTACGATTAGCGCAGCTAGAGTAGGAGCCTAGTTTGGAAATTTAAACTGCATGTTCCAGGCTGAACAAGGCAGCACAGATGACATAGTTTTATTTTACATTTTACAATCGCTATGACAGTATCAAGTATAAAGGCCTATTATAGTGTTCTATCGATCTGCAGTGATACAGGAGGAGCCAAACAATGCCAGGAAAGTAACCTGGTGTATTGACATACTGGACACAGCTAAAGCTTCTGTCCTATAATTTATGTCAGTTTGAACTGACTGGACTGACCCAGGGCAGCCTGTACTGCATTGTACTAATGATACCAGGATGAACCCACTGACCCAGTCTTCCTCACTACTCGTCCTTTTTGGCAGCATTCTGCTGCAGGGATTTTAGATTTCACAGTAACTTTTTACACTTTGCTGAAACCACTGCTTTCTAAATGTATAAAAATAAGTTATTATTATTATAGTACAGTAAATAGACTTGAGAGGCAAGAAAGAAGAAAACAGACAAAGATCTACATAAAAATATCTTTTCTTTATTGGTTGTGCCAGGTCGGTGAGGCCCTCAAAATTGGGCTCGACCACAATTTAAAAGGGCTGAGTGGTGACAGGTCAGACTTCCCGCTTGGACTGATGGCCAGCTCCTCTCTCTGTTACCAAAACAATGATAATGTTCTGAAAATTCCCCTGGTGGAATGGACTATAAGGTTGGGTAAACCATGGGGAGAAGGTTAAACAGTGGATCAGTCTCTTTCTCCACTTCCTGTTGGAGTCTCCAGAGCTGCCTTGTTTTTTTTTCTTTTTGTTTTTTTACTTCTTGACTTTGCCCTGGGCAGCCACAGCCTCCATGGCCTTCTTGACGGTTTCTTCATCTCCCAGGAAAGCCATGGGTTTGACGGGTTTTAGGTTTGCGTCCAGCTCGTACACAATGGGGATTCCTGTGGGCAGGTTCAGTTCCATGATGGCTGCATCAGACATGCCTGTAGGGAGGACAGCAAACATGTGGATCAGCAGACTGAGCAGCAGTAGCAGCAGTGTAACCGATGTCATACAATGCTGTCTGGAGACCAGGAAGACAACAATCTGTTGTAATCAGAGTAGTGGCAGCCGGACAGGTGATATTTTTATCACAGCAGTTTGTAACATTGACCGAAACTAGATCTTCCTCCACTAATATTATTACCATCACAGTTTTACTCTTGCCCTTGAGGACACTCTTTTAGTCCCTTATCTGTAGATGGCCACTCCTTGAAAAAGTCAGACCTTTCTACAGAAAGGTCGTGACTGTAACGGGAACCGAGTACATGACCCTCTCCCCTGTCCCTGAGTCCCTGAGAGCTATTTTTACTCAGTGGCTTCCACGACTGGTTGTGTGCCTGTGAACTTCTTACTGATTATTTAAGCTCTGACCTTGGATGCAAATGTCATTCAAGAAAAAAACAAAAAACCCTTCTTTTTTTTTAAAATCCGCCTGTCACTTCAGAATGGTCAGCAACTGGAGTTTTTGTACGAAGTTACTTATATATCTATACAGAGAAAACTAAAGCATGTATAGTTGCTTTCCTCAGGAACACGTTAGTGAACCATAGACGGGCTCTGTGCAGGTTTGGGGCTGCATTTCAGCTTGTTACATCTGGCATTTGTTAAATACTGGTGCTATGATTGCAGAAAAGCTCATCTGTTACTGTTACATTTGATCACATGCACAATAGAAAATAGTCAATTTTATTTTTATTTAACTAACTGGGGTGGATGGATTCGTTGATCAAAGTGAGACTTTCAGTCACACACTTAGAGTTTGTTCCAAACATCAGCAAAACCTAAATAATTTATTTACTAATTCAAAAGAACTGGTACTGTTTGACACTTTAAGACTCCTGAATAGAACCTCAGAGAAGGTAGGGTTGTGTGTGGGCTATGGAAAGGTTTAGGGATGCATTTTAGTCAGTAAAGCCAAGTAAATGCAGAATAATAAATCAGTTGCTAATCCACCTCCAAATGTAATGCAAAGCTTGTAAAGGATAATAAATGATGGGACATTGTCTTCAGAACCTTCACATCAGTGATCAGCCCCAAGACAGAGAGCAGATTGCGTATCAAACGCCTGACAAACAAAACAAAAACATCTTCAAAATTTTCCTTTAGGAAGATATGAAAGTGGAACTTTTTTTCTTCAATTTTAATTCTTGAGCAATCGCATTTGCTTAGGTTTCTTAAGACAAACTCAAAACAATGTTGTTTGCCTATTTCCAAACTACTACCAATGGTATCGATCGATACTTACCCTCCAAGTGCTTGACGATGCCACGGAGGCTGTTACCATGGGCAGCAATGATCACGTTCTTCCCAGCTTTGATTTCAGGAGCGATCACTTCGTTCCAAAAAGGCAGAGCTCGAGCGATGGTGTCCTTCAGGGACTCACATGTGGGCAGCTCGCCAGGCTTCAGACCCTTGTAGCGTCTGGACTGAAGTGACCAGCGACAGTGGTTAACTCTTGTATCTTTTCAACATCGGTACTTTCTTTCAAAGAGGTTTCTTACCTCGCTGATGATTTTGTTGAAAGGATGGTCCTTGTCCATGGGGGGAGGAGGGATGTCAAATGATCTGCGCCAGATCTTCACCTGCTCCTCACCGTGTTTGGCTGCCGTCTCGGCCTTGTTCAGACCCGTCAGGCCGCCGTAGTGGCGCTCGTTCAGACGCCAGCTGCGAATCACGGGCAGCCACATCTGGTCTGTGCCCTCCATGATGGTCCACAGGGTCTTGATGGCTCGTTTCAGCACGGAGGTGTAGCACACGTCAAACTTGAGGCCCGCGTCCTTGATGGCCTGTGCTCCGCGCTTTGCCTCCCCCACGCCCTTCTCGCTGAGGTCGGCATCGAACCAGCCGCAGAAGCGGTTCTCCTGGTTCCAGGAGCTCTCGCCGTGGCGGACGATGACCAAGCGGTGCACAGCAGTCATGGTAGCAGCGTTTGACACAGACACACAGCCCTCAGCCCTTCTGAGTTGTTGTGCACACACGCACACACACCGGCTGATCACAACAGTGAGCCCAGGGCAGCATTCCACGCTCTTTTTATAGCAGCCTGGCTCGTGACCCAGCAGAGCAGACGGACCTCCGTTACTCTCCACCCGTCTGAGGCCTTCACACTCTGATGGACACACAGTCAGCCAGTAGCACCGCAGCTCTAATCTGACTGCCCAGACATGTGGTGGCTAAGAAAGTCAGAGGTCAAATATTAGCTAAAATAGAAACATGACTTTTAAACTGAGATGTGAGTGACAAAAGTATAAAGATCAGAGATGGCTCTGAGTCTTTAATGGACAGTGGAAGAAGTTACAGAGTTAATACAGGTTTGTAGGGCACAACTAATGGGATGACTGAGGAAAGTATTTATACTATTTGGAAAGAGTTTGGAACAGGATACAACTTAAAGACAACAAAAAGTAGCATACTGTCAAACAGAAATATAGCAATGTAGTGTAGTTGTTCAATTAATCAACCCCCTCAATGAAAGATACAGGGACTCACCTAATACTCAGTCAGATTTCTCACCAACCACTAGAGGGAGTCCAAGTTCCACTAGTGGTATGTTTGTCGTAACTTGACAACTAACCCGAAACAAAAACTGAAAGCCCCCCAACTCCCCCTCCCAAAAAATCCTGAAGTTTTATATAAGCATTAATATGATAAATAATAATAATAACTAGGACTCTTGGAATATGTAAAAACAAACAACTCTCATCATCTTTCCAACAAAGTATATCCAATCAATGAACTGTTTAATTGGATACATTTTATCTTTAAGAAAAATAAAATAATCAAACACAGAAACACTTAAAAGAAAGATACAGTTAGCCAAATAGCCATATAGCTACAATGAGCACAGAACATCCTTAAGGCTATAAAATTTTGCAAAAAAAAAAATACAAACAAAAAAATCAACTAATGTACGAGCTTCAAATATATTCAAAAAAAGGAAACATAATAAATAAAGTTCTTCCCATGTAGTAAGTTCTCATTAATCTGAAGCAGCTGTTCTTTTTACGTTGCTTCCAAATTCCCTGAAATGCTCTGGCGCCCTCTAGGTGAAACACGACTTGCACTGGAAACAACAGCTCTTGTCTAATCTAAATGTGGCCCCACTCTGTGACAAACCCCCTCCCCCCATCCCCAAAAACAACCAGTAAGTTTAATGTAAAATTCACTTAAAGGCAGTTAAAAACATCTATAATTGACATGTAGTAAAAATGTCTAAAACGGTCTCACTACAAAAAATAAAACATCTAAAAGTTAACACTCATATATTTCGTTTTAAATATTCATATTTCGACGTGACATTGATCCTTGACTTTTTTATTATTGGTAGTAGGTGGTTTTAATTAAAAGAAATATCAAATATTTCAATACTTGAAGCACAACCTCACTGTCGTATTAATGCAACATTAAGAGGCAATGTTGTTATTCCCCTCTATCACCTCTAGAGGTCGTTAGAGTACCATTAGTGGTATTTACAAATTGTACTGCAGTGTGTAGAAGTGATTTATGATGTAATGGTTTAAAAAACAGAATATATGTATTTATTTATTATATATTTATTATATATATACATATATAGAATTGTCCCACTCGCGCATTATATGTTGTCCTTGCGCCTACCAGTCATGTACAGACCGTGAAATAAACAGACGTCAATATTGAAAGATTCAGTTCCACTGTTTAGGTATCATCAAAGCATGACACTTTATAGCCAGGTCATGAAATGTAATGTTGAGAGACAGTGGTGCAGTAAAACTACAGACCAAAGTGCTGATACAGCCTGGAAAAGAATCCACAGTGGAAATGCTGAGCTGTCCGGCAAAGTCGATGTCTCCTGTCCCCTCACAAACAAATGACGGTCCATATTTAGAACCGGAGAGAAATTCAATAGTCCCGTTTTGGCAAATGAACGGTACTCGGGGCCGGGTTGGCACTCTGGATCGTATGATCATGAAATGAAAACCCAAGATTTTTTTTGGTTTTATACTTGCAATGAACACAATCTGCTGGGTGTGGCAACGTTGATGTAGAAAAAGTAAGATATTGTAGATGAAGTTTGGGTATAGAAGCCCTTGGCCTTAAAATGTTGTAGTGCGTTTAAAAGCTGTGTCTCTCAGGTTCTGTGAGTCAGGAAAAAAGAAATGATAGAAGAATGAACTTTATTATCAGGGTGGGATTTAAACCTGCGACCCTCCACTACCACTAGGCTGCAGGATTATATCATAGACAGATAACAGAACATTAACAAGCTGTATATTAAAACTAATATACAGTATATCTTTATATAATATATAATGTGTTCATTATTGACCAATAAGTTACAGGACTGGCCTCCCTGGATTGCTAGTTCAAATCCCAAATCCTGATTGGGCAATGGTCTGTTGAGCAAACACAGTGCTCTGGTGTGTCTGTGCTTTCATCACTTCCTTAATTTCCCAAAGGGAACTCCCGAGGGATTAGGAAAGATCCATCTATCATCTGTCTGTCTGTCCGTCAATCCATCCATCCATCCATCCATCCATCCATCTCTTTTGGTGCATGATCATATATTATATATTTATACATATACTCTATATACATGTATTGTTTTTAAGGAACATTTTTTGTTCATTTTTGCTCTAAGAATCCTATAATATACCTGTAATAACATTTTTCTGGTATGGTTTTGTGCATTTGTGCAGATATATGTCCAATTGTGTGGGTTCAGGGGTCGGAGGGTGGGGTAGTGGTAAATAAATGTACTTCAGTTAACTTGGGTAACAACACCTCCGTCCTCATCGTTGACACCACTGGTCTACAGTCCTCTGATGCCACTGATGTTTAGAATGCAGTCATTGATGTTGAATCTTTGTTCCTGGAAGTTAGTGGTCATGTCATCCGTAGTGGTTTGTGATCAAGGCTGATAATGAGACCAGGGAACATCTCACTTCAGCTGCAATCTGGAAATGAGGACATTAAGTAGGTTAATTTGATTGAGAACGAGAGAGAGAGAGGAAAAAGGAAGCACGTTAATAGACTGTTTTCTTTTCATTGTGAGCATCTCGTCTGCTGAGAAAACACTCCGATTGTCAGAGTGCTGTTAGTGGAGGAATAAAAGCCGTCCACAGGGGAGATGGTGTGATCACAAGTGTTACGATGAGTCAGGCTGCAGCAGACGAGTCCACTGCACCTCCCCGAGCACCGTCTCTAAGAACTGGGAGGTTTCTGCTGTATTGACAAATTACTGGTGCGGATAATGCACACAAAACACATTCACACACTCTTTGTACCGCCGCACACACATTCACACCTCAGCACAGGTATTACTGCAACGAGCTGCAATATACACTTCATTAATGTGTGGGCTTAGAAGCAAATGTAATCTCCCTGGGGAGGCTCTGTGTTCTTAGGCTGAATGAAAAGAAAAAAAACGCTGGTCGTATGTGGAACAAACACATAGAACTAATTCAAATGTGTTTTTTTTTAAAGATTATAAAGAAAACAAGTTCAAGGAAATGATGAACAAAAGTGTTTGTTTAATAGATTAATTAGAATATTTAGAATGTGTGAGTCAGGATCGTTCAAACTTGTTCAATACTGATCATTAACTAAAGTTTGTAAAATATGCGCAGAAGGACACATGAGACCAAAACATTGTTTGAGATTAGAAGAAGAAATAGTGTAGCAGATGATATCTATGCTTTAGTAAAAGTTAACTAAAAGTAATAACAGCTAATGGTTAGCCTGAAGAAAACATTAACATAAAGCATTGAAGAAAAGTACAAACAAACAAGAAGTTGTCTGAAAAGATAACCAACCCTCCAAAACTTCTTCCGAAATGATGAAAAGAATTTGTTCTTCTTCTGGCTGCTCCCTTCAGGGGGTGCCACCAGATTATCTCCACCTCTGCTCACCTCCAAACTGCTCCACCTTAACTGTCCCTCTGATCTGCTCATCTCTGATCCTGTCCATCCTGGTCACTCCCACTGAAGATCTCAGCATGTCAAAATACAGTGGACTAGCTGACTGATAGGGGAAACTTGTCAAGAATGACTCACTTATCAACAGGTTACTGCTAAAAGAGAACACGTCACCCACAAATATCAGTATTGGTGTATAGTATACCAAACATTGGCCAAATTAGGGCAAACTTTGTCAAAGCAGAGAAAAAGCTAATACTTCACTTAAAATGTTTCCCCAAAATAATAAGGTTTAACAAACACTCTCATAAGAATAAAGTTACAAAAATACTAACTCAGTCCCTCAGGAAGTAGTTAATATTAGCAACAAACATTGTCTGTTGTTGTCAGGGTGTTCATAGTGACACCTTCATTCTTTTAAACCTGGTTCATTGAGGTCACAGTTGCAATTCCACATTCCACCAGTAGGACAGATGCTGTGTCATTGTTGTAAAACTCTCTCTGTCTCCTCCTCCACCATCTTGTCTTCCTCCATCCTCCCCTGCAGTGAGAAAATAAAGCTAACCAGGAGTAAAACCTTTGATTTACCAAGAGTTAAATGTATTTTTTCTTACAAAGTCTGAAGATTTGTTTTTTTACTAACTTATCATTGGTGTTGAAAATGTCACATCAGCCTTTAGGCTACATTTTCAGTATTGTTTGCACTCATTCTCATCAGTCCAGACTCTCTTCCTCTCCCTCTGGTGTTTCCCCTCACCCTCTCACTCCCCCTCAGTCCTGACAGTTTGAGGCTGAAGTCTTAACACTCTGCTTTGTCAGAGTTGGAGGGAGGTGCTTGCATCAGAGCTCGGCGTCCTGCTATAAAAGCAGAGGCTGCTGCAGCACGAAGCAGTCGAGGCTTAAACCTGAGCCCAGTGCACATCTCCACACACACACAACAACACACACTGAGAGGAGAGGGAGAGCAGCCAGAGCACCCATCATCAACCATGAGTAGCCTGGGATATGACCACTACTATCCCACCTCCTCATACAGACGCTATTATGTGGAGGCCACCCCACGGGTGACGGTTAGCAGAGGGAGAACCCACTCCGTCTACTCCTCCTCCCATGCCTCCCCGCTGTCTTCCCGTCTGCAGTACTCCTCTCCTGGCCGGGTGCTGCTCTCCTCCTCCTCCCCGATCTCCTCCCTGGAGCTGGAGCTCAGCCAGGCCGCCCAAATCAGCTCAGATTTCCGGGCCGTTCGTACCCAGGAGCACAGGCAGCTGCAGGACCTCAATGACCGCTTTGCCGTCTTCATCGACCGAGTTCGGGAGCTGGAGCAGCAGAACCGTGCCCTGGAGTCGGAGCTCCTGCTGCTGAGGCAGAGGCACACCGAGCCGTCCAGACTGAGGGGACTGTACGAGCAGGAGGCCCGTTCCCTGAGAGCAGCCATGGAGGAGGCCAGGGCTGAACAGCAAGCTGTCCTGGGACAGAGGGAGCGTCTGGAACAAACCCTGAGCGCTCTGCAGGGTCGATTCGAGGAGGAAGTTCTAGCCCGAGAAGAAGCCGAGGGGAGGCTGGTGGAGAGCCGGAGGGAGGCCGACCAGGCTGCTTTAGCCAAGGCTGAGCTGGAGAAGAGTGTGGAGACCCTGTTGGAGGAGCTGGCCTTCCTGAAGAGGATCCATGAGGGTGAAGTGGCAGAGCTCCAGGCCCAGGTCCAGCTGGGCGTTCAGGTGGCTGTGGAGTCTGAGGCTGCAGGTCCAGATCTGTCTGGAGCCCTCAGGGACATCCGCTCCCAGTATGAGAGGCTGGCGGCCAGGAACATGCAGGCAGCTGAAGAGTGGTTCAGAGGGAAGGTGGGTTCACTGACAGAAACAGTGGCCCACCACACTGACGCCATGAGGAGCTCCAAAGACGAAGCAGGAGAATACCGACGCCAGCTCCAGGCTCGGATGCTGGAAATCGATGCCTGCAGAAGCCTGAACGACTCTCTGGAAAAACAACTGCATGACGTGGAGGAGAAGCAGAGCGCTGAGATCTCTGCCATGCAGGTCAGCATTTCTCCCATTAGTTATTCAGAGTCATTCAAGTTTGGTATTTGTTTAACAAAAATGTTTTTGTCTTATTTTTAGGATACAATCTCAGATTTGGAGAGCGAGCTGAGGGGCACCAAACAGGAAATGGCCCGGTACCTGAAAGAGTACCAGGACCTTCTCAACGTCAAGATGGCACTAGACATCGAGATTGCCGCATATAGGTGAGAGAACATACAGTATATGAGATCTACATTGTTTCTAAAATTAAAGAAAGAAAATGAGAAAACATTTTCAAAAATCTGAATTACCAAATCAAATTTATAATTTTGCTAATGTAAAATGAAAACTAGTAGATTTCTTAGTTGAAAGATGAATTTTTTTGGAATTATGGGATCAAATTCTATGCTTTTACTTGTTATTGAGATGAAGAACTGTCATGCTGTTTGTAAAGTTCTGAAAACGAAGGTATTTTGTTTTTGTTGTTGTTACAAAGTCTCTGACTCTAACCCTAACTTTCTTAATGCTGGGACCAAAACATAATGTCATCAGCATAACATATGATAAACAAAATGTTTAAAAAAAGTCCACTTTCACTTTTTGAAATCCGCACTTTTTTTCATTAACCCATAAAGGAAGCTTCTGGAAGGGGAGGAGTCACGTTTCAGCTCTGGAGTTGCTGGAGGCGTGTCCTCTCTGTACAGCCACAGTCTGTCAGCTCCATCCTTCTCCCGGCCCGTCTTCTCCAGCTTCAGCTCCGGCACCTCCTACCTGGTGACATCACGCCTGCTGAGCTCCGTCAGCACAACTGAGGGCATCGTCTCTGCCAGCCACGCCCAACAGGCTGAGGCCAGCCCACCTGGAGAAGAGGAGGAGGAGGAGGAAGAGGAGAAAGAAGAGGAAGAGGAAGTGAAGGATGAAGAAGAGGTAGAAGAGGATAAGGAAGAGGAGGGAGAAAAAGATGAGGAGGAAGCTAAAGAAGAAGAAGAGGGTTAGTGTGTTTTTCATTTTTATTTACTCCTTTAGCTGCAGTGAGTTAACAAAAACTCATGTCTTAACACAGGTGGTGATGAAGAGGAGGGAAAAGAAGAGGTAGATGACGCTGCTGCAGAAGAGGAGAGTGAAGCCAAGGAAAAAGATGAAGACGCAAAGGAGGAGGAGAAGTCTGACAAAGACGAAAAGAAGGAGAAAGAAGAAGAAAAACCAGCTGCGGCAGAGAAAGGAGCAAAAGACAAGAAGTAAAAGCTTCACCTTAAGACTGTCCACATAAAAACCACAGCTCAATAACCAGTGCAGGCCTTAGCTGCTCGGCCGCTAACGCTCTATCCTCCCACTGTCCTGCTTGTTAACATGGTGCTCAATCCAATAGTTCAATGACCATTTAAAGGAACAAATCACTCTTAACTGCTTGACGATAACCAAAGGTCTGCTCACGCACACACACGTGATGTTAATACAGAAGAGGAAGTGCAGCTGCTGAGGGGAAACCTGAGTGTGTGTCTATTTGCTGGTGAAATAAAAACATGCTAAAGCCCTTTGTGTGTGCGTACAAGTAATGATTTAGGGCGGGGTCTCGAAAAGGATTTCCATTTGAGACTTTTTTAAAGGTCAAGGGTCAAGTGCTGCTTAATCATGCAGATCAATCACCTTCAAACTAATGTATTCATCACATTTAAAATAGTGCTGTTTAAAATGATAATGTCATTGTTATTGATATTGTTATGTTGATGCAGTATTAGAAAAAAAAATCATATATATTTAACATAATTTTTGCTTTAGGCACATTATTTAATCCAATTCTTAGCCAAGAATTGCTAATAATAAATAATAATAGACTGAAATTAGCAACATGAGAGCCCAGAATATGCAATATATATTTATTTATATATATATAATATATATTTAGCATAAAAACAAAGCTAATTATTAGACCAAAATAATTTGAAATTAATTTCAATAAACGTGATGTAAGTGCAAGGAAATATATTTTATATTTGTCAATGGCAAAATACTGAAATAAACAAAATATAGTATATATAGTATAATATATATATAGTATAACAGAATATTTAATCCTCATGAGAAAAAATACATTATGTAAATGCAAATACATGATCTCACGAAACAAAATTCAATCGATTACATTAACAGTACAAATGACAAATTACATAAACAATAACTCACAAAACATTACTCACTAATCTGCACCTGTTTGTTCCAAACTTACATTCAAACAACGTTTATTCAAATTAAATAGTTTTTACAAAGGTAAATGTCAATAATAACAACATTTAAGGTCAATATTATTCACAAATCTCCTCTGAAATACCGATTATATGCAAATGTATTTTCCTTCGACTTCTAATCATACATAAATTAAGTGGTTAGGGAAACAGTGGCTCCTGTGGCCATATGTTGTAACTGCAATAAAACAAAACCTCTCCGTCATCATGCAGTCAAATAAATGACTCAGCGACTCCACTAATGCCCTAAACAACATTTAAAATCATCCATTACTATATATTTTTAATCTTACTTAAAACAGTACCAGTACCATTTGTTTTGAGTATCTTACTTCTATCTGTCAGCTCTTGTCAATCTAACTATTTTCAAAGAACTGAGGGCATTTTTGGGAAACTTTTATATTCTAGCTTTAATATCATCTAACCCACTGAACTCCTATTGACAAATCTTTCCATTCCTTTGACTCTTGTCTAACCTTGAGCTATTTTCAAGGTAGTGGTTCCCAAAATGTGGGGCATGGATCTATTGCAGGGCGGGAGACAGCTAGGCAAGAGTTTATTTATTATATTATATTTATTATATTATATGTATTATTATATTTATTATCTTTTCTGTATTTTTTATTTATTTCTTCCACATTGTGCAATCTGCCCTGCTTTGTAGTCCTATTCCCTCAGTTTCTATGAGTCACATGATCAGTGGGGGTCTGGACCATAGCCCTGTCTGAAGAGGGGGCACTGTGGGTAAATTATGGTACGCGCTGTTTAAAGGTAAACTCTCCTGATCTGCCTGGGCTATGTTTTGGGTAATTGTTTAGCTTTAACCCTTCCTAATAACATAATATTATTGTTATTTAGTTACTGCAGCTTTATTTAAAATTATGAATTTAAATAATGGTGTCACAGAAAAAAGTCTTTGCCTTTAAATAATGTAAAATAATAATATTAATATATGACCAAACCTGACATTTAAAGTGACATTTATAGTGACATCATGACCACATTAAATGCCATTTGTAAATATTTTATTATTCATTATATATGAATATATTTTCTCATCACCTTGTTTTCCCCAACTCGTTTCACTAACGTAAAATCTTGTTACTCTAATTCAGGGATGTCTAAAGTCCGGCCCGGGGACCAATTGCAACCCATGGACAAATGCTTTACGGCCCGCAGCATCATAAAGCAACATAGCATGTATCAGTTGTGGCTGACAGTATTGTGCACCAAGTATAAATACTTTTACTTCATCTTTTATGGCCGTCAGATATGAAAGTTTTGGTTAAGACCTGTTTGGACTTATCTTTATCATGTGAAATGAAAATGTGCTGTTTGCAATTAAATTAATAATGGTTTAATATCAAACCAGCATTTAATGTTCATGCTGTTTGCTGTTTGCTGAGAAGCATGTTCATGCTTCTCAGCAAACTAAGTCAAAAGGTTTAACATCAATTTAAAGTGAAAATGTACTTTATATTACACTTTCACTTGTTTATTAGATTTACATCTATTTATTGATTAAAAAACTAGATCAGTTTGATCAGAACATGTTTATTGCTTTAATCATTTAACATCATTCTATTCAACGAATACAAAAATATCTGATCAAATAAATGTAATGAAGCTCAGCAGATCCAAAGTTACAGTTGTACTGCTGGAGACCAACTATGTGTCTTTACATGTTTTAGTGAAACTCAACGTTTGTCTTGAAACCTTTTGGCTCAGCCTTGTATTTAACCATACATTTGAGTAAGTTTAGAAATAAATGGGACTTTTATATTTGGAAGTTCAATAACAACATATACAGCAGAGCCATGTGTTTTTATTTTAATAGTTGACTCTAACCAGGTATCTTGACTACTCAACAAAAAACTCTAAAGCTGTGAAACTAAACTCATTAAAGTACGACATGACAACGTCTCTTTAGTTCATTGTGACATTTATTGAGCAAATGCTGCTGGGAAATCGTCGGTGATGAGTAAAGTCATGGGGTTCGCAAACAGTAGCACCTCATTTTTATTTCTGTATTTAAATTCAAGTCCACCCTATGCATACAAGAATGCATGTCATCTGCGCATTTACAGTTAAATACATATATATATTTATTTATTTTTCAGTTGCACTCAGGTAAACATAACAGACACTGATTAAAAAGCATGTTTAAGGCTAGGAGTTTTTTTTCTTCTTCTTCAGGTGTGTAGAGCTTTGAGATTGCTTCGGTAACTTGGATGTATATGGTCGTGTCCTTCGCCGCCTCCTTCGCTCATTCTCTTTCTTTGTCTTTGTCTTCCTCTTCCGGACATGTCGTTGTTGTTGTTTTTTGGGGGTTTTTTTTGTGTTGTTGGTTTCTTTTTGGCTCAGTTCTTCATGTGTAAAGTAAGGCTTCACTTCGAGGCTCCTCCCTCCTGTCGGCCCCCCGTTCAACTCAAAAATCCTCAGCTTTATAATATATATATTTCTATCTCTTCCCCTAACCAGGGACGCATTCATTCCCATTTGTCATATATTTACTCATTTTTTTACAGTGTATTTCTACCATACATACAGATAAGAGAGGAAAGTGCTCCCCTCCCCTGAGCGAGCATGCAGAGTTGTTCCCGTCCCTCCCTCCATCCCCCTGGTGAACTGCAGAAAAAAAGAAGGAAACAAGGATAAATCGTCTTCGGTCACTTTTCCTCTCCACCGTCGAAAGCTGTCACTCTACATGCATTTTGTGAAACTGGTAGCATTTTAAAGTTTTGGCGTCACTCTCTACGGTTTTTGTAGGTTTGAGAAGTAATTACGTTGCTCTAGCTGTATGACTTTTTGATTGTTGTGTTAGTTCGGAGTTGATTGCTTGTCGTCGTGACCGCCGTCGTCTTCCTCAGTTCTGCTCAGTTCCCCTCGGTCACCTGCTTGATGGACTGGGCAGAGTGTTTCTCCGTCTTCTTGGTGGACACCATCTTCTCCTGCAGCGTCTCCTCCACCTCCTTCACAGTCTCGGTCACAGTGATTGACTTGGTCACGTGCTTGGAGCCGTCCTCTCCTGTGGTGATTGTCTCCACTGTCTTGGTGATCACCACCTTCTGGCTGCCGTCTTCCTTCACCGGGCTCTCGTCCACGCCGTTGGCGATCACATCTGATTCCTTGCCCTCGTCTTTTTTGTCTTCATCCTCAGGGCTGCTCTTGTCTACGTCACCATTCATGGCCACGTCCTTCTTCTCTACCTTTGTGTCCTGTGCGGACTCACTTTTTATCTCTGACTTGTCTTCAGCAGCTTTAGGAGACTCGGGCTTCATCTCGGTCTTTGGAGATTCTGCCTTTGGGGGTTCAGCCTTTGGAGATTCAGCTTTTGGAGATTCAGCCTTTGGAGATTCAGCCTTTGGAGATTCTGCTTTAGGGGATTCAGCTTTTGGGGAGCTAGGTTTTTTTGGAGATTCAGCTTTTGGAGATTCAGCCTTTGGAGATTTATCTTTTGGGGAGCTAGGTTTGGGAGAATCAGCTTTGGGAGACTCAGGTTTAGGAGACTCAGGTTTAGGAGATTCAGCTTTTGGAGATTCAGCCTTTGGAGATTCAGCCTTTGGAGATTCTGCTTTAGGGGATTCAGCTTTTGGGGAGCTAGGTTTGGGGGATCCAGCTTTTGGTGAGTCTTCTTTAGGAGACTCAGATTTAGGAGATGCAGGTCTTGGAGACTCAGACTTGGGAGATGCAGGTTTGGGAGATTCAGCTTTAGGAGATGCAGGTTTGGGAGATTCAGACTTAGGAGACTCTGGTTTAGGTGATTCAGACTTGAGAGACTCTGGCTTGGATACCTCTGTTTTAGGAGCTTCCTCTTTCTTGATCTCAGTTTTTGGAGCATCTGCCTTGACTACTTCCTTTTCTGCCTTCTCATCTTTCACTGCCTTCTCATCTTCCTTGCCGTCTTTCTCATCTCCTGCATCTTCATCCTGATCCCCACCCTCTTCTTCAGCCTTAGCTTCCTCTGCTGCCTCCTCTTCTTCATCTCCAGCCTTCTCCTTATCAGGGGAGGCTTTAGAATCTGGTGCTTTAGAGCACAAAACTGTTTCCTCAACCACTTCCTCTTCCTCCTCTTCTCCTCCCTCTTCTGCTTCATCACCTCCCTCTGCATCATCACCCTTTTCTCCCTCATCCTTATCTTCTCCCTCACCTTCCTCTCCCTCTTCTCCACCTTCACCTTCACCTTCTTCCTCCTCATCGCCTCCTTTTCCCTCGTCATCCTCCTCTTCTCCCTTGGGAGCACTGGCACTTACTTTGGCTTCAGTTGCTCCAATAACTTCCTCCTCTTCTTCCTCTACCTTTTCCTGTCCTTCTTCTTCTCCTGCCTCTTCTTCTTCTCCCTCTCCTTCTGCTTCCTCACCTTCCTCCTCTTCTTTTGCCTCTTCTTCCTCCTCTTCTGCTTCCTCCTCTGCCTCTCCTGCCTCTTCAAGTGTGGAGGACAGCTCCTGTGCAATCTCAGCCAGGGCCTCGTCCATGTCGACCTTGTCGTCTTCCACCCTTGTCTCCTCGATGATCTCCTCCACAAACTTGTGTTGCACCTTCAGCTTGGGTGCTTCAGATTTGGGCTTGGAGATTTTGGTGGAGGCCACTGGCTGGCGGTAGGGGTAAGTACTAAAGTGGGTCTCCTCACCCTCAAGGAGTTTCCTGGTTGGACACAAACAAAAGAGATGATGCAAAAACAAAATACTAGGTTTTGTTTTCAAAACCCAACAATCGTGTGTTGGGTCACACCTGTATGCTGCAATCTCAATGTCAAGGGCCATCTTGACGTTGAGGAGGTCCTGGTACTCGCGCAGGTGGCGGGCCATCTCCCACTTGGTGCTCTTGAGCTCATTGTCCAGCTGGTGGATGGTCTCCTGAGGAAACACGGTTCAGTAAAAGAGACGAGATGTTTAAGTTGATAGAGTGCTGCAGATGTCGTTGGTCTCAATCAAATAAAACTTTTTAAACTCCAACTGCTTTCATCACTTCCTGTCTGACTGGGATTCAATGATCTGCAGTCTGCAGCGTTTTAATAGAATCTGCCGCAGTACACTGCTGTGGAGAAGCAGAATGTTACTGTTTTGTCTTTTCAAGGGCAACCTCTCCCACTCCTCCGGTTCACCTCCTCCCCCTCCTCAGCAGCCTGCTCACCAGCCCCACCTACGCCCCACTGTGTTTGCGTGATGTGATGCATGGGCATCGACCCATCATACCTCTGACTCAGCAAGACTGGGGCTGTGTGTGTGTGTGTGTGAGTGTGTGTGTGGGTGGGTGGGTGTGTGAGAGAGAGTCTGCTGCAGTGTCTCCCTCGCTCATCTCTCTCTCTCCCCCTCTCACTCTCTCTCTCTTTAAAATACTCACACTCAATGACGTGCGTAATTGGTTGTTACGCAGTGGAAACAAATGTGTTTTATTAAATGCTGCAGAAATACAGTGTAGAAGTGATTTAACTAAATCCAAATAATAACTGCGTCACCAGGTCAGAGCAGCAGCATCAACAATATCGATGAGTTTCTAACCACATCTCCCACTAACAAGGTTTTACGCACCAAAACTAAAAAAAAAAAAAAAATACTCACACTAAACGTTATGCACCTCGCCTTTTTACGCACGATCTCAGCGTTTCTTTCGTCCCTACCTGCAGGCTGGCCAGGTCGCTGTTGTGACGGTCCTCGATGTCGTTCAGCTGCCTCTCCAGAGAGTCCCTCGTCCCGCGGACAGACTCCAGCTCCACGGTCTTGGACTGCAGCTGGCGGCGGTAGTCGGAGATCTCATCCCGGGCAGACTTGATGGCGTCCTTGTTGCGCTCGGCAGCGTCGGTGAGTTTGGCGTAGCGGCACATGAACCAGCTCTCCACCTGCTGCAGGTTGTGGTTGGAGTGACCCTCCAGCTCGCTGCGGATCTCACGCAGAGCCTCGGTGATGTCCGTCTTCTGCAGGTCCCTCCTCTCCACCGTCACCTGAGAAGCCTGGATCTGGGCGATGAGGTCGCTCACCTCCTCCTCGTGGTTGTTGCGGATGAAGGCGATCTCGTCCTGCAGTGACTGAACTTTCTTCTCCAACTCAGACTTCACCAACTCCGAGTCGCCCATGTCCTTCTTCAGGACGCGGATTATGGCTTCCGTCTCCTCGCGGATGCGAGCCTCCTCGTCGAAGCGGTCCCTGAGCCGCTGGATGTCCTCTTCGATGTGTTCGGTGTCCATCTGAACCTGTGCCTTTTCATGGTGGATCTGCTCCAGCATGGAGCGCAGCTCCTGCAGCTCCTGGTCATAGAGGTCTCCCAGCTGGGTGCGGGACACCTGCTTCTGTCGCAGCGCCTGGATCTCTGCCTCGATCTGCTTGTTCTGCTGCTCCAGGTAGTGCACCTTCTCGATGTAACCGGCGAAGCGGTCGTTGAGCCCCTGCAGCTGCTCCTTCTCGTTAGATCGCTTGTAGTCTCCGTTTATCACGGTAGTGCCTTGGTTGAAATCAACGCTGTCGGCGGCGCTGTAAGCCCGGGACGCCGGCATGTTCACGCTCCTCTTGTAGGTCGCGGTGATGGTGGAGCCGGGGCTGCCCCGGGACCAGGACTGGGAGCGGTAGCCGCTGGGGGGGGGTCCGGGGGCGGGGCGGCTGGGGCCGGGGGGGTGCGTCCGCTGG